GACTTGAATTTCTACACCGACTTGTAAAGAAAAACTTCACCAACTATCGGCAATCGTGAGCTTACTTGCAAAAGATGATTAACCCCTTGCTATGATCAGTGAATCGAGTTTTTCTCTCTTGTCACCAGGTTTCACTGTTCGCCTTGTACCATGTGGGAAGCGATGTGCAGCTTCATCTAAGACACATGACTGATGAGCATGCGCAATACGTTAGCAATTAGGAATCGAAAAATATTATTTTTATGATATAATGATAGAGAGAACAAAAACTGATAACAAAACGTGTATCATGTTAGGAAAGGGCCAGTGTAGAAAGTTTGCCATGCGAAGATCCTCTTCTAATTGAATATGCAGGGCTATAGTTATTAACTAATAGTCGCAATTTAGTGCATATTTAGTCGATATCGACTCAAGTGAATCAATCTACATATGAATACACAGGAGACATCAAATACACAAGAAACATGTTAGTCATTTGTTCATGAATGCTATGACTATCAATGACTAACATGTTTCTTGTTATGTTCTTAAGCGTAAACAACGAAAGCATTCAGAAACTCTTTGGCATGCATGAAATGAAAATATGGTTCATAAGTAATACCATGGCACGAGGGGAATTAGTGATTAAATTTCCCCGAATAACGAGGGAAAATTTGTGGAATAAAACAAAAATAGAATCTAAAAACAATCTAAATTTCCCTACATTTAATATATGCTACAGGGAATTTTAGTAAAAGACAAAGTATTTCTTTGTCTTCTAAATTTCCCTCATGTTGTATGCGTGCGGGAAATTCGGGTTTCTAAAGCCCTCGGAAGATAAAAGAATCCATGGTGATCATGGTATTACTTTAAATATTTCAATATCTACAACTTTCCAAATCAGGGGGGAAATGTGAATAACTAAAATTCACTAGTCTACACTTGTAGCCATTCCCAATAACATTCAATATATTTCTAATTTTCAACATAAAATTTATTATTGCGTATTTTTTACAGTTGTCCGAACAATGGGGACGATCATTTTAGCCGTACAGTCGTCAAATGTGGCTTCTTTTTGGCAGCTTTCTATGTTTTTACGTTGTTCGCGCGTTACGTTTTTACCACAAAAAGGGAACATTTTTGCAATTAGGGCCCGGTTGTACGAAGGGTGGATAGCGCTATCCGACGGATAAATGCTTATCCCCGCCGCAGCAGTGGATAAAGTCGATGCTGTTATCCAATAAAGTCATGTTAACCCAATTTTTTGTTTGCTTAGTTATTTTACTTCTAGGATGTAGTTTCATTATACAAAATTTTGAAATAACCTGAGGATGGAATCTCTTTTCCCTATCACAATGAATTTGTTTGCCATGCCACAAATGTTTTTTGGCTTTCTAATCAGCAGTTTAATGAGCAGCGCGTGACGACACTGATATATGCATTAGCTATTTTGGTAAACATGGATCACATATCTGATGTGTCAAAGCTTGTGTTGACTTGATTTTGTCAGTGCTGGTACTGGTGCTGTTTGCAGGTTGACAGAGCGTCGTTTTCTCCATATATTATTGATTCGTTCATAAATCTAACAAGGCAATGGATAAAAGAAAGTCAAAACAAGTGTTGATCGGGAGATCGACATGACGGACTAAGAAGAATGTGGCACACTGACTTGCTTGTCTAATAGCACATTTATGCCTTGGATCACATTTACTTAATTTTAAAATATTCGATTGGCAGTAGTGCCAACATATTCACAATTATTATTGAATATATTCATCATGAATGTAATATATTCTAATAATATTCTTGCTGTTTAAACCCAGTCATTGTCATGTTGGTGTTACGTCATAAAAGGACGTATGCTTAGCCCAAGAAGAGGGGAGTCTGGATTTGCATTTTCAGGTTTTTATTCTGGATCATTGGACAAATTTCCTAAATTGGAAGTTCTAAATTCCGTTGCAATCTTCYAGTCTTTTGTCAAGGAATGAATACTTACAGTTAGTCTAGGGATCTAGTTGTTACCCCTTTTGTAAAGCCCTTTTTACTGAAGAGATAAGAGAACCAAATGACTGAGAAGACTGGTTAACCAACATAAGTGTTGTTCTTACAAGATAATAAAGCTGCTTAAAGCTCCAGGGCCGGCGAAAGCTCAAAATCTTTGGGTATGTGGTAATGACTATGTGGTAATGACTTCTGTTTTGTTTGATTGCAGACGCATGCGCAGCAAAACTATGACTGAGAACCAATATTTTGTGGGGGATCCGCCCCTGAGCTGCTGATGACAAAACTCATTCAACTCATCATGAGTTTCAGCGAAAGATATTAGCACTGAGTTTAGAGGTGCAAGGAGGCAAGTGGGTCAGTTTTGTATAGTATTTTCAAGGCYTTAGCCACCACTTGTACAGTGGGCCGGTTTTTAAAAAAAGCTGGTCCGGTTTTTTATTTACTTGTGTAATCAGATATTTTTACGAGGGGGGGGGGGGGGATCATTCTGAAGGTAAAAAGTGGGTAGTTAAAACCGGATCAACCGTCCTAGTGGCTACCGCCCTGATTTTACTAAATCCATTTGCCTCACTTGAAGGACTTTAGAAAGACTAAACGTATTTTATTTCAACAGCTTGTTACCTAACGCGATCCATATCGCCCCTGTGCCCTCGCAACCCACCCACTACAGCCATGTGAAGCCGGGTTAATCATGGCACAACGGTTGAATTTGACTAACAACAGGGATATCAAACGAAAATAAATTATGATTAGAAAACACTCGTGAAACAATAGATCAAAGCCAATTAAAGGCTCAATAACACCTACGACAGAAAAATAGCTAGTCTTGACGTCAGCGATGCGGGAAATAAAGAGAACTTATAAGTATGAGATAGCCAGTATTAGCTTATTAATATAAAAGTGTACTTTAATCGTTTTAATCCCCTTCTGATAGCATTCTGTGAAACGTTAGATTCAGCAAGTCTTTTTTGGTCGGTCGATTGATTGTCGATCAACATAAGTCGCTTTTACAGCCTGGCACGTTTCAATCACTCGGGGTCTGAGTACTAAGCAACAAATGAGGGGTTATGATCGGCATCTAATCAACACTGTGGGCTATACAACTTAAATTGTTTTAATCTAGTGGTATTTTTAGCTTGCAGAATGTTCAGGATTCTAATGTTTCTATTTATGATACTTGGCACACAAAAAATTAAAAAAGACAAAGAAATATGAAAATRAGTTTCAAAAGGCACAGTTTTGTAAGATAAAGTAGGTCTAGCGATCAGCATATAAAGTCCAATGCTTTGTTCTGCTGCTTTGTTCAATACTTGAGTACTGACGTCACYATTCTTTTCAAACTAGTAAAATGTCGAATATTGTTTATCCGTAGAAACACATGCCATTATCTTGGCCATGTTTTATAGCACGTAACATTTTGATAAAGGAAAGGAGATACCAAAACAATGTCCGATTATTCGAGGAGCAGAGCAAAATGTAATTGCTGGAATGTCCAACAGGCAACACATGAAATCATGCATTAAATAAATGTTTTTGGATCACTTACTGAGTGAGATAAATTTGAACACGCGCAAAGGAACTGACACTTTATAAGTACGACGAAAAACCTGAAAATATATTAGACATATCAGCAATTCCTGAGGGGTACATTGATACTGATCCCTTTATTCGTCAATAGCCTTACACGTGTATGTCAATAAGAAGTGATTTTTTTGGTGTCAAAAGTGACAAGGGATCCGAACAAGTTTTCAAAATAGTATTACAAAAAAATGAATTTGCGATCATTGGTTGATTTATCTAAAATCAAAACAGGTGAATTGAAGTTCACTGAATAAAAAATATTCTTATTCCTGAAATAATCTTGGTGAAGACTAGTAGACGAACGGTCGCGTTCAGGTACTGTCACATCCTTCAAAGTTACTGACGAGTTGTTAATAGCTTCTTGACTAAAGGTAATGGAAAATGACATTTGTGCCACAGCTAAACATGTTTTTAACGCGAAAATTTTTCTATTCTTACTCGGCACTGAATCGAAATCTTTGTTGATAAAATAGGGATACGAGATTAATACTGACCAGTTCCTTAGAGCTTGAATCAGGTCATTTGACAGATGTTCGCTTTAAGGTGTTAAAGGCCCAAGTGTCTAGAATGAATAGGTTTATTTTAATGCTTTATTTCTCGTACTTTTAAAAACAAAACCCAAACGCAGACCAAAAACGGACGAACTTGAAAATTCAAAATATTGCCGTCCAATATCTACTGAGTATTGGTGATTCTAGAATTTTGTGTGACCATTTTCTTAAAAGTGAATCCAATCATTTGTAATTATTCTTGTGTATTTGTATTTAAATGAGCACCTGCAGGAGACCTTATACATATTCTAAGTCGCTTGCCTTTCGTCTATTTGTTAACACCACTAAACCTGTCATGAATCACCAATGACTTTTACTAAATTTACTTTAGGGTAAAATTCGACTAGATTGATTGGGGAAAATAAGTTAGATCACCCTTTTTCTCCCCAAAAAATAATAGGTGTTAAAGAGATTTTAACTGATGATGATACTAGCCAATTTCACCAAGCTATTTAATTCCAATTAAATCGCGGCTTCAATAAAATATCGTAAAAAGAGAAATTTAAGAAAGACTCTTAAGTTAATGTCTTCATTTAGCTTAAAAAGATTCCAATAAAACAGAAATAAGATTTTTAAAGGTATTAATTTGGTTTTTAATTATGGAAAGAACCGTCTTTCTTTCAGAACCCTGAGGATAATAAACAATATTTCGTTTGAGGAGAATGTAAATTTATTCAAATGTCTTTCATTACGATCCGAAGCAATTTTACCATTTCTCTTGCTTATTCTTTCTGACAGGCAAATACTAATAAAGGCYTATTTAACATTGAACAATAGCTAAGGATGACGACCAATCAGGACGCGAGTATTGGAGTAGCCTGAAATGATACGGCAGTCTCACAATAGTCCACCATTACCAGCCCTCCCACGTCCAACGAAGTCCTCTGATTTTCTTCTGTTTCCTATCTACTAGAATGAAACAGCTGCCCTATCTTCATATGCCTTTTGTTTCTACCGAGAAAACAAGCTCTCCACTTAATAGACAAATTATTACTGGTCAACTTCCTAAATTTATCCAACAGAGAGAAGCGATTCATAGCGGCTTTCGACAAGTTGGTATTCGTGTTTACTGTATTCATTTAACCGACTGTTCGCTGCCAAACATTTGATACAACTCAKAAAAATCAAGAAACCTGAGTTGCGAAATTTTGCGGATTGACAATTCATCTCTTTTGCCGGTTTGGAAACGCAAGTGTTAGGACTGGGTTGCTAACGTGTAATTCTCAAGCAAGTTCCTGTTTGGATAAGAGATCTGTTTATCGTATTAATACTTAAAGCGATGGAAGAGAGTGGATCAAAAAATTCCCTAGTAGACTTTGTCAGCATCGCTACTAGTAATATCAAACTCGCACTTGGTAGACCAGTGAAGCCTAAGCGAAAAGTCAATCATCGTAAATATTTACAACGCCAGCTAAAAGGCCGATCGTCTTACTCGTCTACTACGACAATTATCGACCCGATAAATCTCTTCAACTTTCAAAAACCGGAAGGCAAAATCATGAAAAACGGGGATGGGCTAGAATCATCAACATTGAATGGCGTGTTTAATGCTAGCAAAACCCATACTCAGGATAAGAACCTTGAAAAAGCAGCAAAGCCATGGCCGCCGAAGGAGAAACATTCCGCACCTGTTTCACCGCTGAAGCAGACCAGGTCTGTCAACACAAGTGTGCCCAATTTAGTAGACGTAGATAAAGTCATGACAGCAGTTCGAGTCCCAATGTTGGCTAGTCCACCACCACTGAAGAAGCGCAAGGCGGCTGCAGAGGTAATGACTTGGACGGAAGAACCTGTCAAAGTCCCTAGACATACCCACTATATCACAACGAACAAAAACGTTAACCAACAGCACAATAACGTGAACATCGAAAATGCAGTACAAAAGAGTAGCTCAGAACTATTCGAATGGTTCGGCCCTGAGTTTGACGACCTTCTCGAACGATGGTCTGAGGTGTCAGAGAGYGCATCTTCAGATTCCGTAAGGACAGCAGAGTCTAACCGCTCAGGAAGTCATTCCGAAAGTTCTTCCGGTGCTGATCCCTATTCTCCGAACTCTGTTTCTGATATATCAGATAACGGCAATACATTCGAAGACGTATTCTACGAACAGCTTATGCGTTTTTCTTCTTCGTCTTCTCCTGCTGAAACGAGATCAAGTTCATCCCTCCAAAAATTCCACTCAGGCAACTTGAACTATTACCATTCACAAGGACTTACACAGAGTAATTCACACTGTGGGTCAGAATACCTGATTCCCGGGTCTTCTAGTGTAGAAAGCAACACTTGGTTAAACAAGGCTAATACTGGCCGTGTACGTTATGCTACAAATATGGATTATACCGCTTTTTCTTAAACAATTCCGCTTTTCATTTCGAGTCTCCGTAATAGGAACAATATACGAAACTGAGCGGTAGTTCTTTACTAACCAAATCTCTTTGATCAATTCTCATGATCGAGAAAATAGATAACTGTATATACCGTCAATTTGTTTTTCTCATGCAAGTCTTGAAAGCTTGTTAGTACAGGCCCAGACTAGAAGAGATCACTGGTAACTCTTGACTATTTTTCTCATTGACATTAACACTTTCTTAATTACCAATTTTGGGCTTTTGTTCAAGGATATTTCACCCAAAAATAATCGTATTTTTGTAATAATTCTTAAGGAGAATAGATCTATGTATTACATCTTCAGACGAAAACTGTATAACTAGCTATGATCGAATTCTAGTATTTTGAGCATTAAATGCGAGTATTTCTATACTCATTCTTGTTAAAATTGAATGTTCATGACTTATTATTAAAGCAGAGCTTCCTCAGTACTTGACAAAGGACTCCCGTAGACATTCCATTAATAATAGAAAAGCTAGTGCGACAAAAATAAAACAATATTTCTATCAGAACCCGTTTTATTGAAAGACAATATCCCCTTTTTCAAGATGTATCTTTTATAGTTGTCTGCGGCGTTTTTTGTTTCCCATAAAGAGAGTTATTCTGATTAGTCGGTTGATCAGTGATTTTATAGTTTTTACAAACATTCAAAGCTGCAAGCGATGTGACCATTTTTATTACTGATTTTTTTAATTTCTTAAAATGAGAATAAAGCAAGTCTTTAAGCCAAGTCATTCTTGTGCTGTCTGGTAGGTGTATTCAGCTGTTTGAAGCGACATGAGTGCTTTTCAATTGATGTTCCTGCCAGCAAATCCYCACTCCACATCAATCGCGTCATTTTTCAGTACTGTTCCGAGTGCTACTGTTATAATCAGTTTGATTCCGATTTTTATACCTCAATATTTCTATAACCTTTTTGACATAAAATTTCAAAATTCAGTTTTGTTTTTTTTTTTGTTTTTGTTTTTTCTATCCGATTTTTTTATAGCTCGGTAAACAAGTCATATGCGGCATTTTAATGCTTTTTGGATTGTGCAAGCTTTCTTTCGTGATTCATTTCACGTGCTGCTAGTTAACTCTACTAGGTGTTGGCTATTCTTCCATCAGTCACAAAATACGTATTTCTTCATATTCCAAAAGTGAACAGTAACATGAAGAGTTATCGTAAAACTTCAAGACTTCAAGAACCGTAAGTCTTCACCGAGTTCGTCATCACATTCTGGCAAACTCTTCTCGACCTCTGCTGAATTTTCATTTTATTTTCAACTAAAAATATGAATTTATTTACAACAGCTTCGCTAAGTTTGAGTTCGAGCATGAAACTGTTCTTTTTTTTTTTTTTTTTTTTTTTTTTTTTTTTTTTTTAAAATGAAAAACATATTGAAAGATCATTAAGAAATAGGTAGCACTGGCTCATTTTCTCGCCGACCTATGTATTTTCCTTTCTTAATTATCCTTTTCATTTCTATAATTCTAGAAGTTTTCGCAATTATGAGCCTTTTTTGACAGGAGCGAATTAAAAGAAACTGATTGTGATAGGTTTTCTTAATTACATGTCATTCATTCGTTTCGAACACCTATTTTGGTCGCAATGAGTTTGGTAGTCATTTGACTTTGTCGGCCCAACATATGATATAACTAAAGGGAAAAAACAGCAAACGAATATAGCCAACAAATTTCACATTTATTTTGAGTTAAATTCTAATTTCCTAATTCTAATAATGAACACATCAAATATTTGTCTTGAGTTGTTATTTTTTGTTCAACGGCTTTAAAAAAATTAAAAAAAACAATCGCCTGTATCCTACTTGAGAGCTCCACTTTCTTGGCTAAATGCATGTTAAATTTTAACTTATCGAATTTTGCCTACCAGCATTTTAAAATTTAGAGGATTTTTGAAAAGGGCGGTCTAAGAATCCTTTGTACACAAATATTATTTGAAATAATGTAGCTATTTTGGCATATTAGTTTTGTACGATTCAATAGAAAATATTGAACAAGTGAATTTGCTCTGAGTTGAAAAGAACGATATCTGTAAGAAAAAACGGCCATTAATTGTATAAAAAGRCGACCAGCTTCGAAACAATTAGCGCCATAACGAATCGTTTTCGAATTAAGGATTTTTGTCGCTATCAGCACGACAGCGCGCACGAATTCGATTCATAATCTTACAACTGCARCGTTGCTTTCATAATTAATATAACGTTTAGTAATTATGATTAAATCAAATAAGAAACTACGGTAAAGCGATATAACATAGCAAATGAAAGTTTTGATTAGTTAAACTTGCAGAGGCATTTGTAGAATAAAGTCTTATATATAAACCCCGAGCTTGGACGTGAGAAAGCAGTGCTGAAGATGCTCATCCTTCTGTACCTTTGTTTGAAAAGTGCACATACGTAAGTCATGTAGTTGCCATGCGATCATCAGGTCCAGGCTAAAGCAGGTGGTACTCACAATTAGAGCAGATAGTTTTGTCTTAAAAAACACAACCGAATATTATGATTATTTCAATACCAATGCAAGGATGAATTGTTTTGTTTCGGCTTCCAAGCTGAATCGATGTCAATACCAGCTTCCGCGGAAGGAGAGTACCAAATATTGATAAAAATAAACAAACTCGCCATGTTTTTTTCCGCACCCCAAGTTGATTCCAAATTAACATATTTCAACAAAAAAGTTTTCATTACACTTTTAGAATTATTCAGCTTGAAAATCCTATTTAAGAAAGCAGCATAGCTTGGTATTAACAGGGAAGGGTTATAGAATAACAACTGTAATAGATATTTGGGGGGACGGAAGTGAAAAACTCAAAATTAAAAATAGGGGGATATGCTCCTTACTTATTACTAAAACGTCAGCACGCAGCTAAATGAGTTATACATTCAGAAGGAAACAAACAGGAGAAATTTTTTCCCACACACTTATATATTCACAACTAATACGGCAATTATTTGAAACAAGGTAACATAAAAAAACTATTGTGCAAAAACAGATCTTGTTTCTCACCGTTTATTCTCACCGGTCATTATAGTATGTAAGGTAATAGAGTGATTCAGCCAATACCTAAATATAAACCAAAAAAACTTTTTTATGTGAGCTTTTACGGAAAAGTATTCTATAAAAAGGTGACTTTTGTGACGTTATAATATAAGCTATCTTTCATTGTTATGCTTTTTCTTATTCAACTGAAAATTGTAATTAGCGAAGACGGAGTCAGAATAGCTTGGCTAGTGGCTCTGATAAAAACGGACTGAAAATGTGAGTGAGGGTTGCTTGTTGGTTTTCTCTTGTGCTTCAAAAGGGGTTTTCTACAGATTCGCAGGTTTTCCTCCCTCCGCAAAAACGAAGATGAAGAGCCCCTTTGAAGAAATGCCACTGCAAAGTCCTATCATTATTATTATTTAAATAAGACAATGAACAGTTATCTGGGGAAATTGGAATGGAAATTAACCGGCTATCCAGCTATGATTTATGGGAATTTCAAAGCCATTAACGGAAAAATATCATGATGGTGCTGCAAAACCCAAGTCTTTATTTGTTTTTTCACTTTTTCCTGGGCACGTATCCGCCGAATACAACAAGAGAAGAAAGCCAACTCATTGTCAGTTGAATGAGTCACACCCGATCAAACTCTGTAAACACGTGCTTTGAATATATAAGGAACATACTCGGCTTCTCCAAGCGGACAAGTAAAAGTTATGATTTAGAAATGAAAATATGGCAAGCCACCTTTGATCAATATTGCTAATTCTTTAGCCATGGTTAATAGGTCACGAAGTAAGACAGAGTATCTGTTCATCAAGCTGGCTGCTAAGGAATATCGCAAATAGCCTGAAAACTATGCAGTTTCTATGTAGAATATTTAAATCAATAGGCTCTAAAATCGCATTATAATTCATCTTCACACACAAACGCATAAACTAGCATGGTCAGCGTAGCAATTTAAACTTGCGAGTACTAGTTCTTTCATGAAAAAGAAGTGGATTAAAACCAATCGAGTACGTCCTTCACATTACTTATTACCTACCCGCTCAGATAAGTTAAGCGTTGATATAGCTGTAGTTATGAGTTAAACGAGGAAACAACTGTAAGACRGTCAGTGCGATGACTGATCTTTATACCAACAGGCTTAGATGTTTTCATGCAGTTTATGTTTACGAGAATTTTTATAACCACTGGTAGTAAAATAAAAGGGGGATTCTGCCTTAGATAAACATATTGATCCAATCAAGTTAATCTTAGCTGCAAAACCATTATAACTGACGACACCCTTGGACGTTGGTCTATTTCTTTTCTTTGATTGGCATATCTTTCAAAACAAATATATAGTACACAATAAGGTTGTTTGAAGATACTCATCAAAGCAAAAATTAAAGTACTTCTTGAGTGTACTGGCGCCACTCAAACTCCTACTTTGAATATAAATTGAATAGCTTCCATCCGAAACACATGATCAAATTCGTCTGGAAAGAGCACAGAATTAGACATAGCGGGATGTGTGCGCCATTAAATCCTGACGGGATTGATTGCCATTTTGAGACTAGCTCCCTCTTAGGTCGGCGGCTACCAGTTTAAGGGGAATGCATTTTCAACTTCAACCCGCATGAGTCTCTTGAGGAAACTAAAACTCAAGACGTTTTTGAGTTTTATTTAATATATTGTCTCAAGCCGTTAGGAAATTGTTCTCAAGGGAATAACACGTATCTAGAATGAAAAAAAAAAAAACAACTCACAAACGCCTTAGCTAAAGAGGTCTATTGTTTGGAGCTCGTAAGACTTCATGCATGCTTTGAAAYAAGTCCGTTGAGCATAGTTCCAAAATATTGTGTACTGATACGGTACGTTTGACAACATGCCTGGCTATAACAGTGTCGTAATAGCGTACGTTGGGTCTTCAAAATACTGTGGAGCAGAGTTGTTGCAAATCATTCATTCGCCTTTTTGAAGTTTAAAAAAAGACTGGCAGTGACGACATCGTAGTGCACAAGTTTGAGGGACTGAAGAGGACGTAAGAATGATGGCGTCATTTGACTATCACTACCAAAATGCTTCGCAAATTTTCTTTCGTATTCAATTTATTTCCTCATGAGAATAGGAAGTGATAGTCTTTTGACGTAATGCCTTATATGGTATTGTTTCAACAAAATCACACCACAACCGCTGACACTTTCAGTTTAAAGGCCTCAGTATCACACAAAGACGCGTTTATCCCGTCCATTACTTTTCGTTTTCATGTAAAATGGCGATTTCTTGGGCTTTAACTTATTATGAAAATGATACGTTTTTAAAAACAAATCTGTGTTATTTGTCATTCGAAATCTCACTCGCCTACGGAGTCGATCCTGTTATTTACTGCGCATGCTCGACGACATACCAGAGACTACGGGAAG